AGAGCTGGTCAGGCAAAAAGATGAGGCGGATGCCAGAATTGGAGATCTGTTGAAGGGGTTGGAGGATGAGCGCGTCAAAGCAGAGGAGGAGAAGGGGAGGCTGATGAGGGAGTTGGAGACAGAGAAGGCGAAGGCGATGGCGGAGATGGAGAGTCTGAAGAAAGGGGTGGAAGAGGAGAGGGCGACGGTGGCTGCTGAAAGGGTGACCCTGCAGAGAGAGCTGGACAGAGAGAGGGCGAAGGCGGCTTCTGAGAGGGCGACCTACCCTGATCTGTGCGTCGCAGCAGTGGAGCAATAGAAAGGATCTCCCGAATTTCAGATGGCGGTAGATGCCGCAGTCGCCAGGAGTCTGGCTGGACAAGAATCTGGGGGGGTGGGCCCATCAAGGACGACTGCTGGAGGTAGGACAGAGGCAGAAGTCATTGAAAGCTTCCAGCAGTCCGACTTCTACAAGCACAAAATGGCTGAGTTCTGGGACAGCGGTTGGAAGATGTTCAAACGCAGAGCTGAAGAGCTGTTCCCAAACTTGGACCTGAGTAGTGTAACGATTAGTAAAGATGATGTGGCCCAGACCCCCCTGGACGAGGGCATTGAAGAAAAAGAGCTTGTATCCAGTGAGGAGGAGTAGTTAATGGAGATGAAGAGCCCCCTCTCTGTGTTTGTTTTGTGTTTTTGTTGTTGTTGTTTTTTTTTTTTTTTTGTAATGAACTTGTGTACACATTGTGAATGATTAAAATTTCGTTTATGTTGTCAGTTGATTGTGTGGGCCTGTATTGCGTAAAATGAATGAAGTCTTGTCACAAAAAACTGGTCATAAAAATTGTGCAATAAAAATTTCATGCAAAGTTAAGTTAAAAGTGCCTCCCTACAGAGTGAGATTGGATTTGTATAAAAATTGAAAGGATGATAGTGGTTGATTGAAAAATTGGATTATGAAATTGTAGAACATAATATTCAAGTGGGGTTAGTACTTCCAGTTTAATAAGTACGGATGAAGAATCCACGGATGAGGACAAAGTGTAGGTTGCAAATCGTAACTAGATAGTTAATTGTAAACTTGTAGAGGAGAGATTGGAGAAACAAACTGGGTGGGGTGGTAGATAATCTGATTAGTAAATGAAATACGTGAGAACATCTTTGGAATTTAACTAGGTAAAAACGTGGTCCTGGAATTGTGAATAAGCTTCAAAATGTGACTAAGTGTTAAAAATGTGGTCCTGCTTGGCTTTGAAGTACTCAGTCTGGCTGAGGCTTTGAAGTGATCAGCCTGGCTGAGGCTTTGAGTGCTCGGTCTGGGCGAGCCTTTGAAGTGCTCAGTCTGGCTGAGGCTTTGAGTGCTCGGGCTGGCCGAGGCTTTGAAGTGCTCAGCCTAGCTGAGGCTTTGAGTGCTCGGTCTGGCCGAGGCTTTGAAGTGCTCAGCCTGGCTGAGGCTTTGAGTTCTCGGTCTGGCCGAGGCTTTGAAGTGCTCAGTCTGGCCGAGGCTTGGAAGTGCTCCTCCTGGCTGAGGCTTTGAGTGCTCGGTCTGGCCGAGGCTTTGAGTGCTCGGTCTGGCCGAGGCTTTGAAGTGCTCGGTCTGGCCGAGGCTTTGAGTGCTCGGTCTGGCTGAGGCTTTGAAGTGCTCAGTCTGGCCGAGGCTTGGAAGTGCTCCGCCTGGCTGAGGCTTTGAGTGCTCGGTCTGGCCAAGGCTTTGAAGTGCTCAGTCTGGCTGAGGCTTTGAGTGCTCGGTCTGGCCGAGGCTTTGAAGTGCTCAGTCTGGCTGAGACTTTGAGTGCTCGGTCTGGCCGAGGCTTCGAAATGCTCATCCTCCAACCCCTTCAACAGATCTCCAATTCTGGCATCCGCCTCATCTTTTTGCCTGACCAGCTCTTCATTGCTGCTCATGGCCTCTTCATGCCGCTCGATTGCAACGGCGCAGGCTCTTTCAGACTCCTCCAACTTCTTCTGTTCGCCAACCAGTTGGAACTCGAGCGACACGACCTTACGGTGTGTGTCCTCCAGCTCCAACTTGACTGCTTGCAGTTCAGCATGGGCAGTCTTCTAGTCGGCACTCTCCTTCTTCAACTTGGCCAACTGGGCTTCGGTCTCTTCAGCCTTTAACTTGGCAGCCCCTGCCTTCCTTAGAAGGGCCCCTGCCAAGGTAGTTACCTCCATTTGGGCGGAGCATAACCCCCTCAGCAGGTCAGCCTCATTAAATCCTGATGCCGAGCGCAGGGCTGTCTCCTCCACAATCTTCACCAAGCGGTTTGTCCCCGCCCTGGCTGGGCCTCTTTCTCCCTCCAACCTTCCAGCTACCGCGCGAGCGTGATAGATTGCCGTGGCCAGACGGACCCCTCCTTCTTGGGGAACAGGGCCCTTTTGGGTCTACTCCCTCCCGCTCGGCACACCCTCGGTCAACCCAACTCCTACTTGCTCTGTTGGGGCAGTCTCCACAACCTCCAGAGTTGGGGTGACCCCCACCACCTCTGGGGTATCCTTGGCCACAGGGACCTCCACCTCAGTTGGGGCCACCTTAGCCCTCTTGGCCCCAGACTCATCTGCAGGTTCCTCTAGGGCACTCCTCTTTTTCTTCTTCTTCTTCAGAGCCTCCCCCTCCTTTCTGGCCTGTTCTTTTACAGGATCTACTGGGGGCGGTCGTGGCTCAAAACTGCTTAAGTCTTTCCCCCCCAACAGCCTTGGGCGCGGTCGGATCCTCTCCCGCGCAATCGGTTGAGGCGGTCGGTCTCCTCGCGCTTCCTTCAACTTCGTGGCTTTGGCCAGAGGTGGAGGTCCCTATGGCCAAGGATAATGCAGTTCGTCCTGGGTGGATGGGCCGGGCTGGTCCAAGCTCCTCAAGTTCCGATTCAGGCGGATGATTCCACCAGATGACCTGCAAGCAAGTCCAAAGGGAAACGGGGTAGTCCCCCAATAAACCCTCCGGCGTGCGAATCAGTAGAGGAGGAGGAAATATAGAGAGAGAGAGAGAGAGAGCGAGCGAGAGATAGAAAAGCTTAACCTTCCTCTTGTCTTCGATTCTTGCTTATATCCTTTGGTAATCATTTCACTGTCCCTTGTGACGTGCCCCGTTCCGCCGAAAGCCTGTGCCGTAGCTTACCTTGTTCAGGGTGAGGGGGCTCTGTTCCGACGGGGAGGTGTTGTCGTAATAAATGCTGTGATGGGCTGCATTAATGGTGATGTGTTGTGGCAATAACTCTGCAGATCTTTGTCTGCTGACGTGGCCTGTGTTTCACCTGCCATGTGCCCGAATGCCATTGGCCCTCCATGTCCAGATGGCGTCCAGCTGTCCTGGGCTTTGCCAACCGGGTTATGCTATGGGTCCCAAGCGATGGGTTTGGGGTTGTTTGCTGTGAGCCGTAAGCCTTGTGGGCCTATCCATGTCAATTGTTATATAAAAAAGTGTCATTTATGTGTTTGGTTCTCAAATAGAAATGACAGTAATGTTACGTTGTCAATTTGATCAATTTTGGATAACTCATTATGCTATTTTTTATTTTTTCACACTTAAAAAACTTTAAATTGTAGGTTAACAAAACTCTGACTTACAGAATGAATGTTGTAAATGTTTGATGGAAATTGATTTTGAATTTTTATTGTAGCTAACAAAGTTAACTTTTGAATTTTAAATTTTGAAATTATTTAATATAGAAAAGTTATTGATATAACATTAAAATTTTATTACGTTTTTACTGATCAAATCCCGATTGTAGTAGTATTACTATATTATTCGAAAGAGTGGTGTTACATGCACTAATTAGTGTACTAATTAATGTACCAACATTAGTTACGATATTATTATTGACCCCACTCATTATACAAATTATAAATATCAAAAACATCTTAAATTATGCCACATAATTAGTGTACTAACTAATGTACCAACATTAGTTACGATATTATTATTGACCCCACTCATTATACAAATTATAAATATCAAAAACATCTTAAATTATGCCACATTATCAATTGGTACACTAGTTAGTGCACTAATTGGTGCATATAACATTAGTCTATTCGAAAACTGGTATACAACTTTTTGGGTAAATTACAATCACCTCCCTTTAAATTGAGAAAAAATACAACTACTCTTGACATTTTTTATATCATTACACTAGTCTGCTTTATGATTTTAATTCATATAACAGTTAGACCTATTTTCATCTATGTTAGTTGTATAAAAAAAATGTGATATCTTTTTTACAAATATATATATATATATACATACATCTCTTTATTTATTTCAATGTTTACTTGCTATCTCTATTAATTTCAATCACTTTAACCTTATTAAAAATTAAAAGTTTGGGCTAAACCTCAGGGCAAGTGAATGTAATTTATCCAAACTTTTTAAAGCATTTTCTTACAATGAAATTTAAAGGATAAATTACACCATTTGAACAATTTTAACCCTATACGTTTAATTTTACGGCAATATGATCCTTCCATCACACGTTGTTAACATTTGGAACCAAAAAAAAAAAAAATGTACAAAACTAAATGGACTAAAGTACAATTCAAAATAAACTATCGGCAAATTACAACAAAATTGAAAGTGTTGAGTTTAAATTAAAACTATGGAAACTAAAGTGATACTACACTTAAACTATAAGGACTAGTGGTGCAATTTACCAAATTTAAACACACACACAAACACGTTCATCTGGCATCCTCATATACCAAAATAGCACTTTAGCCATTGCCTGATAATGCAAGTTGACATAGAGATATAGGCATGTATTCATATTTCCTCTTCAAGTTCATGCACAAAAGTGAATGTTAACACAGCATTTCACAAGAAAGTATTGAACTTCACAGATATTTTTCCATAAGGGCCTTGAGTTGGATAATTGGAAGTGTTTGCTAGAAAATGAAAAAAGAAAATAAAAAAACAACCAAACAAATGTTCTACTTCCATAATTCACCTAATAGCAAAAGGATGCTTTTGTATTCTATTGATTCAGCAGTGCCCAAAAAGTGTTCATGTGCAAACTGAAACATCCACAATGGAGACAAAACTCATAAGCTGCTATATTAGGTGTTCATGTGCAAACTGAAACATCCACAATGGAGACAAAACTCATAAGTTGCTATATCATGCAACTCAAATTTATTGTTCTATTAACTAAAAAAGAATAGTATTTTTTGGTAAGAGTTCATGAACTCAAACATTTGTACTTTTGTAGTGTATAACAATCATCGAATGTTATATCCCTCCTCTCGGTTAATTCGCAAGAAGGCTGCAATTTTTAATACAATATATAGCGTGGTACCTTTTTATGAAGATGTAATGAATCACATGAAGCTTCTAATTCATACAGGCACTTATTAATGCGTGGAAGGCTTGACATTCTTCATCTTTAAGCCCACAATCTTGTATGCTTGAATGAATTCCCTCCATCAAGAATGACTTTCTACTTCAGAAAATATCTCCATTTTAATCAATCCGCTCTAGATTATACATCACCATTCCCTCGAGTGCTAATTGAAATGCGCTCTGAGGAAGACACTGAAGGTTTTGGATCGCGAGCTCAGCTTTCTCTTTTGCTAGATCTCGAGCTCTCTCGATCCCCCCACAACTCTTGACTATTTCAATGGCCTCATCGAGTGAACCATTCTCGCAGAATTCAGATTCAATGAGCTCTCTCAGTTTCGGTTCTTTCTCTATTGCGAAAATTACTGGCGCAGTCAGGTTCCCTTTTGCCAGGTCGCTTCCAGCTGGCTTTCCCAGCTGCTCCGCGGACTGTGTGAAATCCAAAATGTCATCAACAACTTGGAAGGATAGTCCAAGATTCTTACCATACTGATACATTTGCTCATTAATATCGCTATCGACCCCACTAAAAACGGAAGCTCCTTTGGTGCTAGCGGCGATTAAGGAGGCTGTCTTGTAGTAGCTCTTGATCAAATACTCCTCAAGTTCAACGTCACAGTCGAACAAACTCGATGCTTGCTTTATTTCACCACTAGCAAAATCTTTAATAACCTGCCACAATGCCAAATAGTTTACAAATATGGGCTAGGGCTTCATAACCTCCATTTTTTTGGGGATAGTTTTGGGGATTATATAAAAAGGGTGTTCGGAGAAATTTTTTGTAGGTCGTCTATGGCCATTATGTTGCTAGGGGTATCCAGTACAAAGGTTAACAGTATAAAACTTCTACGATTAGCAATTTGAAGAAATTACCTTAAATCTTCGTGTACTGAGCCCTAATCGAATAGTTTGAGATTCTAAAGAGAACGAAACTATTTTATCTATTAATAGTGGCCAAATTGGCATGTTAGTCTGATTCTATCTCTGTTCGTTCCGTTTGAAGAGATTAGACCTAACAAAATTCCAAATAGAAACTTTCGAGGGGTATTAGCATATGAGAGAGAAGCATGAACACCAATTAAAGTTTTCAAGGACTTGTGGTGCAATACCTGACTGATGAGCTTGATGACTTCAAGATTTTCAAGATTAGCAAGGTACCATGATGCCTGGGCAAACATGAAGTCCCCAGCAAGAACTGCCACTCTTGTACCAAAAAGTTGGTGAACAGCTTCTTTTCCTGCAAATAGCCAGAAACATGATATAGCTATGAAGAGAGCGGCTTTCTAGTTACTCATTTTAATGGTTGAAAGTTGAAACTTGAAAGAGACGTCCTTATATATGATGCCGCTTAAATTTTTGCATAAAGTAACAGAGAACCTCAGAAGTTTGCCAATTGTATGTGGAGTCAACCTTATACCTTTGAAAACAATAGAGCAAGATCTCATGGTTTGCTCGGTCTACAGCACATAAACCAGTGACACTACTTAACGTCCCCCCGGGGGAAAAAAACAACTGAAAGAAAACTCAAAAAATTGGCTCAAGGGATAATCCAGACATGGAACATCTGGTTCATGTCATGAATGCAAACATTTATAAAGTTTGCAACAAGACAGAGAAACGTGTCTGCACATAGTTCCACCAATCTGTATTTCCTTCCTCTGTTACTATTGTTTAACCAAAAATCTATGTTATGCAGGCCAATCTTGCTAAGCAAAACTCAATTGCATAAATCATAATCCAGACTTCTAGATGGAACTAAAGACAATGGAACTTGTCAAATCTAATACTTGTTATGAAAAATTGCATATAATGTTAAGACAAACAGAGATGGCATAAATACTCAACGGTCTTGTCAAGTTTATATTAATAAAATCTGGACTAAAACCACCAAATATTTTGGAAAACAGTTGAAAGTTTCTGCTAGCAAGTTCCGTATGGTAGACTCATTCAACTTAAGAATTTGAAATCAGCAATCATATGAAACAATGACATAAACTGTGCTGGTGTTCAATACAGATATGAGGTTTCAACAATATAAACTGAAATGTGAAATGAATCATGACAATGATACACAGCAGCACAGAATTTTGAATAAACTGAGAGCAGCAGCATATAGCTAAAGGCTTACCTCTGCGCATGTCACTTTCATCTAATACGTCATCATGAATCAAGCTTGCAGTATGGATCATCTCAATAATCTCTGCCAAGCGCCTATGTTCTTTGGTAAGTTCCCTGGTAAGAAATAATAGTATTGAATGAAACATCTATTTTGTTTAATATCTAGTATTTTAACAAATACAAATAACACTGCTCACGTCAAGCCTGCAATTTCTGCTGTTGCTCTTGACACTAGGAACACCAAAGCTGGCCTCATCCTCTTCCCACCGGCACTGAAAATCTGTTCAGCGGCAGACATCAAAACCGGGTTGTCTGCACCAACAATCTAGCAAAAAAATTTCATCAGAACGGAAGCATATAAAAAAGACAATGGGAAATTTAGACTCATATTTTAAAGGGTAAATTATGCTGACCACCCTTGAGGTTTAGAAAAAAATACAATGAACTCCACAATGTAATTGCACTGACCTCTCTTTTACTAAGGCTAAAACAACCTGAACTAATGTAGATGATGTGCAGACACGAGAATAAATAAGATAGAATATACATTTCAGAGTAAAAGAGATGACATCATCATTTTTCCATCGACACGACTAACGAATTATTAAAAGGGGCCAAGTGCTATGTGAATTAAAAACCTTAAGAGAGCCCAATAAAATTATGTCAAATATTCACGCAACTAACCCCATTTGATGGGACTTAAGGCTTGGTTTGGTTTGGCGCCGCCCCCCCCCAAAGGGAGGTTAATGTAATTTATCCTGTTTTAAAAGAGCACACCAGTCTAAGCATTTGAAGTTGATATAAAAGGTAAATTGGATTGGCTATGCGTAGAAGCACAAGGTATTGGTGAGGGAATTCAAATGATATTTATAAAATAACTGAAACCGTCACTAAGAAATTTCCTTGAATTGAAAATATTCTCATGAATTTCATGCACATTTAGGACCTCAACGATACAAAAAAAAAAAAAAAAAAAAAAAAAAAGTTTATGATTTATTTTGAATCAAAGAGGAGATATTTAACTCAAAGGTAACTCGTTTAGCTGAGCTAGCAAGAGTGTAACTACTCCCCTAATCTGAATTGACATGCATCCAAAGAAAATATCATTGGTTGAACTGATTCTCTTAATGTCATGATATTTGTAATCAGTGACACATCATGTGTACCCATGGTATATCAATCTTCATAACCAAGTTCTGATGGTAACACACAGTAATTTATGATTCAATCAAAAGTCAAGATATTAACTATTCATTTATGTACTAGTTGTGAACATTGTCTCAGCTCTTTCATTGTGTATTGGCTTTAATCCTCGAACTTCAACACAGAATAAACAAAATAATTGAGTGGGATATATATAATTTGAGTAACACAAAATATACAACTGTACTAATTTTTCTTAGATTAGTTTGGTTGAGTATTTGAGAATCGTGATTATTGGTAAGTTAGAACATTCCCATCAAATTATGGTTGCTAGGACAGCATGAAAATTAAGGCTTTATGCTATTAGAACTTTATATCAAATCCTTTTTCCACCCAACCCCCAAAGCAGGAATTTCCAGCTCCATTCTGCCTATAATCACAACTCCACTACCAAATCACAATCCACCTCCAAAAGCCATTGATTCTCTACCACTAGTATAATTACTACCACAGCTGAGGGACAAATTGTTAAGAATACCCTACACTTACTTTTTTTTTGTGGCTAAGTGTAAAAAAGAAAAGAAAAATAAAGTGCTTGCCTTGCTTCTAAAAGTAATTTCGAACATAATCAAGTTAAAGAAAACTCAACTGAATTTGACAAAAAGCCATTTCTAAACTATTGGGCCTGAGATAATAATCTTCTTTTGCCATTGTACTCAAACTAGACAAGATATCCATTAAATAATACACTCAATAGTCAATATTTTCCATTACTCCCTCAAGCCATATCAATTTTGGTCCTCTTCTTGCCCTTGCAACATTTTCAAAGGGGACCACGCTGCTGTTCCTCACTCGAGCACTAATTTCTCTTCAGTGCACACACATGGCCAAACAATCTTAACTGGTTTTTCATTCATAATAAAACTAAATTCAGCAGGCACAAACACCATTAAAGCAAGAAGTGTGTAAAAGTAAAACATCTTCACCATGATAATTTGTTAAGGCTGTGTTTGGATCAAAGATTGAGTGGGGATTTGGGGAGGGAAAGGAAAAGTGAAAAAGAATTAGCTTCTATTTCATTCACTTCTCCTTTCCTTTTCCCTTTCCCTTTCCCTCCGCAAATCCCTCCTCAAACCCAAACACAGCTTAGAGGTTAAATCTAAGAACATCTTATAACATACAAGCCAATATAGAATTTTTCGCATAGGTACTCACAGACTGTAAATTTTTGTTCAATGTTTGGAGGTCATCAGCAACCACTTGAAACAAATTTGCCACTGCAATAGGGCTTATAATTTCTTCCTTCACATCCAATACTGGTGGAGGACCTTCTGCAACCCCAATAATAGTCCCATAACAAGTTAATAAACAATTCTAATGGTTCAACCTCCAAATTCATAAGACAAAACTACATGTTTGTACCAATTTAACAATCAGAAACAAACTCAAATTGTGCTTATCTCAATAAAACAAAGTACCATTCAGCAAAGTCTCCGAAGTCTCTGTAGAGAAAACGCCACACCGAGCAATCTCATGCCGGCGACACACCAATTTGCGAGCCCCAAAGCCTCTGTTAGATCTCCTGCAGACACCCTTTTTTGCATAGTTTCTTACTGAAAATCGATCAACCGAGGCATTGGAAGAACATCCACAAGCAACCAAATCCAACCCAGTTCGACTAAACTCAAGACTATGGCACGTCATTGACATCATCATCAATAAAACCCAAATTCAAGAAACACAAAAATATTTTTCAATCAAGTCAAAAACCCAACTCAGAAAATAGCTCAATTTCCCATTTCACCAAAAACCCACCAAGAAAACAACAATCCCGACCATGAAACAGTGATTGAATTGAGAAGAAAGTGAGTAGCAGAGTGAGCTTCAAATAAGAGCGAAGATTTGAAATGGGTCCTAAGGTGACAAGCTAGAGTTGAATTTGAACCCAAAGACTGGAATGGTATATGTGTTGTGAACGAATACTTGTATTGAGTGGATCCAAGAAGCCCACATATCAAATTTTTTTTGGGGGGGTATTATTTATATAATCATATGTTTTTGGAAAAAAAAGAGGGTAAGCTTTTTAGGACGAAGGAGTGTATGGACTATGGTGGAAAGAGATAGAGCAAGAGTGCGAAAGAGAGGCAAAGAAACGGCCTTATCTTTCTTAGCGGTCAAATATATATACTCTGGTTTTTATTTTTTTTTATATTTTTTATATACTCTGTTTTTGGTCCTTCAATAATATATGGGTAAATATTGGAATTTTTATTAATAAATCCTATTTAGAAATATTCTAACTTAAGAAGTCTATGAAGAAATTTTTTAACCTACTTTAGTCTCATGTATTTATAATTTTATTTCATAAAATCTTTCTTTCTTGATTTACACTATTTTTTTAGACTCTTATACCCTTATATTTAATATTGATATTTAATGTTGGGAAATGAGAGAGAAGGGAAAGAACCAAGGCATAAAAAATTTCATACACAAATTAAATAATATTAATGTTATTAGTTTATATCTATACTATATATTAAGCAAAATAGAGTTTTTAACCCCAAGCCTTGTGCGAGCTCCAATCTCCCAATCTAAATTTCCTAATTTTTTGTTTTTTAAAAAAAATCTTAAGATTTATTAACTTCTCCCAACTCTCAAGTCTTACCCTCACAATAACACTTTCATACATTAAGAACAAGTATAAAAAAAATTCTTTGAAATCCAACACATATGAATTCTTGAAAAGTCTCAACATATATGATTATTATCCCTCATAATAACACTTTAATGCATTAAGAACAAGCATAAAAAAAAATTCTTGAAAAGTCCAACACATATAATTATTATCAAAATATTAAACTTTAATATAATATAATTAAAAAAAAAACATTTAATTCCTTGAAAAGTCCAACACGTATGATTATTATCAAAATATTAAACTTTAATATAATATAAAAAAAAGAAGACATTTAAAAAAAAAGAGAAAAACATTTAAAAATCACAATTCACATATATAGATAATTGTAAACACAATATGTGCATAGCACGGGTGATATGCTAGTTATTATATAATATGAATATATTTTTAATTGACAACACATTAAAAATAATATAAACATTCTCTCTCGTCTGTTGTGAATATATTTTTAATGTCATCTGATGAGAATATTCACATTCATGTCATCTAATGTGAACATTCGTATCATCACGTACAGTCATGTTTATATTCAAATGAAAGTTCAGGCTTGTGATTGTGTAATTTGATGCAATACTGATATGAACCTTAACATCACCTTTATTATACATTATATGATGTGCATTCACATTCATGTTGTCTAATGTGAACATTCAAGTCATCACATACCCTCAATATTTGGATGCATGATAACTATCAAAACATAATGATAATCAATAAAAGACCATGTTTAATTTATTGTGTGTAATATATATCAATATTAAATAGTGGTGTGTTTTTGGAGTGAAGATATGGAGAATAGGAATGGTCATGGGAACTATCAAAACATAATGACAATCAATATTAATGGGGCAAGAGAAATTAAGGGTGCATTGGTTTTCGTATTTCAAATAGGACCGAATGAAATAGTCAAAAAAAATATGAATTAAATGAAATAAAGCTCTTAAAAATGAAATTTATCAAAAAAAAAACTCCCTAAATTATACTTTGCCCAGTTACACTTTTGCCACTTTTTGACTATTTTTTCATTTTGATGTTAAATTTTTTTGCCTACTTCTTCAACCGTTTATGTTTTAAATACTTTTCAATTCACTTCAAAAATAATCTTATGTGGCCACTTTTGGACACATAAAAAAACAAGTCAGTTTATTGGTTTATTAATTTATTTAAATTATATTATCTTTCTATTTTTTTATATTTTTTCATAATAAAAAAAATCAATTTATAAATCATACCTAAAATAATCTTAAATCGAAAATGATACATTCACAACTATATGGTATAAAAATATTTTATTATATATAACTTAAACTTTTAACACAAACTCAAAACCTGATATAATAATATATGTTTATAGGATTAATTATCTAAAAATCCTATCCACATATTTGATAGTAACTTAGGTCCTATCTAAAAGTTTTTGAACCAATAAGTCCTATTTATAAATAAGAAGACATTTTTACCCTTCAACCCATACAGTTATATAAATATAGCAACATTGATATTATTTACTAAAAACAAAATCAAATCAATTATGGGAAGTGGACGAAGATATGATTTCGAAGGATCTCAAAGGATTTCTCAATTATGCTTACATTACTCGCGCCAGTGGCTCCGTCATTGAAGTTCACCTTCCGTTTCCTGTTCATTTTGACGAAGAAATCATCGAGATTGATTTCATGTTCAAGAACGCACTACTACTTTTCCACTAATGGAATATTAAATCCTTATTTGCTTCCTCTCTTTGTACCTTTTAGTTTTGTTTTCTTGAATCACCCTGTTACAGCCCACAAAAAATTTCTTAAAATTGACAATATTTTCAGAAAAAAAAAATTGAGAAATTTATTAGTTTTGATAATTATAAATTGAAATTATTCTCTGTTTTGAAATTGAGAACATTCTCAGTTTATAATATTCTTAATTTTAATCATGAAAAAAATTGAGAAATTTCTCAAAAATATCTAGTAAAATTAAGAAAATTTTTAATTTTTTTCAGTGTTAAAATTGAGAATATTATCATTTTTTTCAATTTTAAGCTGATAATTTTCTCAATTTTAAAATTATAAAACTAAACACACTGATGATTCAAATAAATCAACAGACAAATAAACTAGTTTTTTTTTTTTCCTTCAAAATAGGCCTTTATCAAATTTTGAGGCCACATATATCTCCAGCTTAGATCAACCGAAATTAATAAACCCAAACCTCAAGCTGCAATCCAAAAAACATCACCAGACAACTTCATCACTCGGCAACTTCAACAATGGCTCTCGGCACCCTTTGCCTCTCTCTCCTCACCGCCTCCTTGGTCTCACTACCGTTCTCCGCTGTGACGAGGTTTCCGCCTTGCAAGAGACGAATGATTATGAGCTCACCGCAAATGAGTTCGACGCTCTGTTCTTTGTCTATGAGATGGACGATTGAAAGAGAGAGAGAGAGAGGCTGTTTGGTTGTTGGTATACTGCGGAGTGGGTGTAGAAGTAAGAGAGAGAATGAAGACATCAATTGTTTGGCAGATGGAGGAGGCCTTAGAAGGGTAAATTGGTCTATTACAAATTAATGGGACTTGGAGGAGCAAATAATTTTATCTAGGACTTATTGGATTATAAGTTCACAAAATGGAACTTGTATGTAAATGCCCCATTTTTATATTATGTGATAGTTAACGTGACATTTCTTTCGTTTAATTTTGAATAAAAATTAATTTTAAAAGTAAATTAAAAAAAATTAAAACATAAAGGATTAAATGAGAAAATGATTGAACAAAAAAAGGGACAAAGTGTAATTTACTTTATATATATGTATTTGTCGTAGCACCGGTGATCTATGAGTAATTTTGTATGCAGATAGAGGCTTTTATTTTGAAAAGTGAGTTAAAAGTCACTTCTCAGCTTTTAACCTACTTTCTTTCTTACAAGAAAAAATCAAAAAAATCAAAAATAAAAAATAAAAAATAAAAAAGTCAACTTTTAGTGAGTTAAAAGTCACTTCTCAACTTTTAACCTACTTTCTTTCTTACAAGAAAAAGTCAAAAAAATCAAAAAAAAATAAAAAATAAAAAAGTCAGCTTTTAACAATTTTTCCAAAACACTCAAAAATATATGTTATGTAATACTTTTCACTATTGTAATTGATTTTGACAATAAATTTATTATATTTATATTAAATATTTAAAAAATAATAAAAAAATAAACATTTATGATTAATACAAAACAAATGTCACTTAGGGCTGGTTTGGCAACCTTAGAAAAAATCAAAAAGTCAAAAACACTACGTCAAAATTGGGCTTTAGCGGCGGTTTTTTACCGCCGTTAAAGGATGTAAAACCGCTGTTAAAACCTTTAACGGTGGTAATTTAGGACCGCCGTTTATACTCGTGTCGGAAAAGGTACAACCGTCGTAAAAGAGTAAATTACCGTTGTTAAAAGTTGACAAAAAACGACAGTAATATAGGACCAAAAACGGCGGTTCTTTACCGCCGTAAATAGGTTCAAATTTTTTAAAAAATAATTCTCTCTTCTTGCACCCCCCAAGTCTCGAACCCTTGACCACTAATCCACGCACGCCAACCACTCCACCACAACCACTCTATATGAAATATAATCCCTAAATAAATATTTAAACGTTACTTTTACTTTATTGTAGATGGTCATGTTTAACCTCTGGCCGAACATGGTCATCACTCGCCGGAGTTCCGCCGGAGCTCTGCCGGCAAAGACCGCTGTCATTAACGGCGGTAATGAGAGGGCTTTAGCGGCGATTTCGTTACCGCCGTTAAAAGAGGACTTTAGTGGCAGCTTTTTTAACGACGCAACCGTCGTTAAAGACATTTTTAGTGGCGGTTTTTTAACGGCGGTAACGGCGGTATTAACGGCGGTTTTCGTTACCGCCGTTAATAGAACCTTTAAAAAAACCGCCGTTAAAAAAACCGCCGTTAATGCTCTGTTTTGGCATAGTGAAAGTTATCCAAAAAGTTAAAAAGTTATCACTATTCACAAAAAAATATTTATTAAAAAATTAATATACAAATATTAATACATATAAAGTAGATGGCCCAAGATTCGTACTAACGTGATGAGGAGGTCAGTGACAAAGACAAAAAAAATTATGTGTATATTCACTAATGAAATGTATGGTAAAGTTGGGCCCGTGGGGGCCCACCATGAGTCCCGTTTTGATAATCTAAACTGTTAATATGTAGAACTCGTTTAGTACTATATGCCTGTAAAAATTACAACTATCGGATATTGCTAACTATATGATCAAATTAGTTTTGTATAAAAATGGCTGGTATTATAGTTAACAGTTAACAAAAAAACTAACACGATCAGATAGCTATCGATCTCCAATCAATGTGATTTTTTATAATCAGATAATAGTCGACGAGTTCTACACATTGAACGGTTCTGATTAGAAAAACGGGACCCATGGTAGGCCCCA